CCAAAAGATGCCGCTTGGAAAACTGAGTTTTTTTGCATACGTTATTTCTCGAAAATGAAGTGCAAATCAACAAAAACAATTACGCAACAATGCTTTTCACGTCAAATCCAGTCAGTCTGCCAAAAATTAGCTTGATCCTGCAAAAAATAAAAATTGACCCAAAATGGTACATATGCCCTTTTTACACGAAAGCCTTCAATTAGACTTGAGTCTTACAACTTTCAGCTGCACTCAATTTTATTTCTTAACAAATGAGTTAAATTTATGTCATCAAAAAAGTAGCTCAAAAGAGGGTGCCAAATTCTGGTCACTCTGATCAGGTAATCAGAAAAATTGATTCACCTTCTTACTGCTATCTGTTTCAGTTTCCTCTGGTATCTGTTTAACTGGTATCTTGCTGTTGAGAACAGTTTCATCTTTCCCAGGAATTGAAGACAAATCATCAGTTTCCTTCAGAGGGAAGTACACCACCCTGCATTTCGGCCTAATCATCTGCTCTAATCCTTTTGGTCGATAATCGGGCATCAATTTCAGAAAGCCATTGATGGATGATAGGAATGATTCCATGTTAAAGAGCGAGTTGAATATCACATCATCAGCTACAAGACTGCATTAAAGTCAGCAAAGAATCAGTAAACTATAGATAACATACATGTTAGATGTAGATGTAAAGGTTAAAGAACAATAGCCATCCTGATTCCTTATGGCATGGTGCTCACATTATGTCAAGCTCACAACCTATTAATTTTTGGTCCATAAATTGGTTAAAAATTTTGGCCCTCTTCTAACTAAATGGTTCTAGGTTTGTCAATGTACACTGTATGCTCTTAAATGAAAAATTCCTGAATAATCTTGTATCGCTAGTCATATACGTGTTACAGCATTTACAACAATTTAATAATAACATTACAAAAACTAGTGATACAGCATACATATACATGTCTACATGTGTATGTGTCTTAGTTACTATGAATTTTATAAGAACAACAACATTCTCACCATGATAAAATCTGGTTGTAGCCATACTGAAAGTCTCTGTCCTGCTGTTTTCTCACAGGATATATGAGTTGATTCTCGTGAAAGTAAAGGACTTTCTTGAGTTGTGCAAGATCTGGCCTCAGAGCCACTAATTCAGCTAAATTCAATACCGAACTTGCAAATAGTACCCTTTAAAAAACAAATACAAAAATTATAACCTTAAAAATAAGGCAAAATGAAATTAAATTAGACTACAGTGACAGCTCATATAATTATAATTTTGGATAGTGTTTGGACACGATCTCACTCCCAGACAGCCAAGACCCTTTTGTTTGACACCAAAAATTGGACCTCTGGGCAAAATTGGATGGCAAACCAACAATCACAGCAGTTGCTTTTTCTGGGCATATTAGTACAACCATATCAAGCTGGAATGTGTGTGCAAGATAAGACCCGAAATCAAGTTGTGCTGTTTCTTGTTCTTGATTGCCCCCAGAATATATGGCTTTTGGTCACTGCTAATGTTCTGGAGACACTTTTGGGTATC